ATGAAAATAATTTCTATCCTTGTGTGATCGGTACTCACCGGAGAGACCGCAGACGTTCGGATACAATTAGCGTCTCTTAGCAAAGACAATGACGTCGACTTTGCTAAGTATCAAGACAATTACTCTACACACACACGCACACACACACACTACATTAATAAATTTATCTTGATTGAGACTGGCTGAATGACAATTGTCCAAGCCAAAACACACACAAAAAAAACTGGCCCATTTGAGGTCTATATTGAACCAAAAATTAATAACGTCGGAAATTATAGTTTTTTAAAGCTAGCTTAATATGTACATGATAAGAAAATTGAGAATGTACAAAAAATTAATAAAAAAGGTAAAAAACGAATTAGCGTTGTTTTTAAGAAATGGGAATGTGCTAATAAATTCATTTCAAATATAGAGATTAAAAATGATGGATATGAACTCTTTATTCCTGCTAATAAAGTAACTTGTAGAGGTGTAGTAAATAATGTTGATGCAAGTATTTCTGATGTTGAATTAATTAGTTTTTCGGGTACATCCTCAGTAAATATTAAAATTTTGGAGGTAAGACGTTTTAAAAGAAAATCAAAATGTGATTCAGGCAAATACATAAATACAGAAACAGTAGCTTTTACCTTTTCAGGAAAACAAATTCCAAAAGAGATTTCTATATATGGGATTCCCTTTAGGGTAAAGCCATATATGATTCCGGTTGTTCAATGCTATGATTGTTTTCGTTTGGCCATACAAAAAAATCAATGTAGAGGGGATAAAAAATGTAAAAATTGTGCTGATAAAGCACATGAAGATGAATATATGATGAAATGTCTCCATTGTAATTTTCATTTAAGTACTTTTAAAGAGTGTCCTAAATATGTCAGACAACAAAATATTAAAGCTGTTATGTCATTAGATAATCTCTCTTATTTTGAGGCATGTGAAAGGTATCCATATGTCTCCAACAAAAAGTTATCAATAGAAAATACATTTAGAGTAAGCCAGGACGAATTTCCACCTCTATTAAATCAGGTTAATATATATGACAGAATTCCAATTAATGAGTGATTGATAGAAAATATTCGAAGTAACCCAGAACAGTGGTTTAGCAAAAAAGCAGAAAATAGCGGGAACAAAAATAAAAGAAAAATTAACTCAGTCAAACACAACTTATGATAGAGAGCTTCATAATCAGAATTTAATATCTCCAAATGGAAGATTTGAAGAGAGAACCTTCTCTGCTAGTTCTAAAATTCCTATCCCTGAATGTTCACGTACAGAACAACTAGAGAGGGAAACTGAAAAAATATTGAATGAAATACATATTATGGGATGAATAACTAATATACATTTAATTTAATAATTTATTTTTAAAATGTCTAAACAGTTGTATCTACTTAAAAATTATTTACAAATTAACTAATTTTTGTATTGATTTATAATGGTATTTAGGACGGTAAATTAAATAATATTCAAATTCATATTAAGAGTCCAACGGATAATTTGATTGAGTGATAATGATCATTTGTTTATTGATTTGTTGAATGCTAATGATCGATTGATATTTTGTTTACAATTCTCCATACGTCATAACTACTAGAAATAAGAGATTACTAGGAATTGCAATGAGGTTAGATAAGAACAATTAGAAACAATAGAACAATAATTAGGTTCTACCTACCTATACGTGGATTTCCTTTTAGTAATTAGTTGGATTTATTTATGTACCTGAATTCCTCGAAAGGTTTAGACAATATATACACAAAACCCTCAAAATTAACACACCATTTTAAAAATTGGACATTTTTTATGTCTGTTTTAATTAAAACTTTAAATAATAAAATAACTAATTTTTACAAAAAAAAACCAGACACTTTGTGACTGTTAATAATTTGACATTTATCAAATTGTTAATTTATCATAGCCCACTTTAGGATTGTTTATTAAACTAAGCAGAAAATAAGGATTTATTGACAAAGAACATGGCTAGTTGTTAAAGGACACAACTTTGTTATTTTTGAATATAAGTGAATCAATAAAAAAAACAAAATGTTAAAAAAACCTAAGGCTATAGTTTGGTTTTAATTTTAGTATTTTACAAATGAATATTCCACAGGGTGTTGAAAACTTTAAGAAAAAAAACAGTATGATTGGTACACTCGGTATACAATGACGATTTACCTCAAGCAAGCAATTTAATTTAACCCAGCCTATGAGAAATGTTCACCCAGGTAGTACGATCGGGTGTAACAATTCATTGGAGCAAGGTGTGTTAACTCGAGTAAAAACAGGAGTCACCCCACAGTGCTCCAATGCTCTAGACCGTCCCTTTCCCCCCTATAGCAATCTGATTCGCTATAGAGGCACAACAATCAGCCAAATGCTCTTCATGTGGAGGTCCCCAAGGGGTAATAGAACCCCAACATGGTTTCCTAACCGAATGCAAAAAACTCAGGACAGCGCATCTCCGCTATATTCCTGTTATCTTACTGTGGCTTATCCGCGAACTAAAATTGCTTACTTGGGCCTCAAGTCTCCGCTCTGAGTCCCGGCTCAGTTCGGCGACTTGGTGCTCAAGGGGGTTGGGCCCTACGTGCCCGGGTTTTGGGGTTTTTGTTAATTTTTTTTGGTGGCGCCGAAGCCGGTTTTTGTTAGTAATTTTTTTGGTGGCCGAAGCCGGTTTTTTGTGTTTTTGTAATTTTTTTGTTGACGATTTACCTCTCCAGCAACAATATTATTACAGCACTATTGTTAAAGTATAAGGCTATAACCATTCTATAACATATTAAAAAATCCACATTAAAACCAATCTCCACATTAAGAAAAATCTCCACATTAAAAAAATCACATAAATCGAACAACATATTTAGGAAATACGAGACATCAAAATGTAACATTTTTAAGGCAGTGCGTTAATTTTAATAATAAATAATCTAATAAACAAGTTTTAAAATAAAATTTTAAGGAATATAGATAGATTGTTGAGTGAGTATGATGATACAGAAATATAAGTTATATTAAATATAAGTAAAAAATCTTACCCAAAGTCACTGTTCACACGCGTTATAGTCACGTAAGAGTATGTAGTTCTCGTAAGAGTTTTAATTGTCTATAGCAGATTTTTCTAAAAGTTCACATCCTAGGTCACCTTCATCATCGTCAGTGTCTGACCACGAACTATCAGAATCATCTTCGCCAACGTGTATAATTAGTTCAGCCACGTCATCTATTAATTGTTCTTTTTTAAGGTATTCCTGTTCTACTTCAATAACGTGTTCACATGTATTCTTCCACACATCTGCTCCGAGATTGTTAAATTTTTCTTCCGCTATTTGCCTAATGTCGGACATTTTAAACGACACATTCTTTGAAGCGACATGATTTTTAACTACTGCCCAAATTTTTTCAATGAGATTTAGTTCAGGGTGATATGGAGGAAGACGTAATACAATGTGTCCTTGTTTCGCCATTATAGTGTCTACTACATATTGTTTACGTGCTGGTTTATTCAATTTAATTTTTGCATAAAGTTCTGGTTTTTTATCAGTCACTGCAAAATAAATGCATATTTCTGTTAGCCATCGCTGCATGTCCTTTTTTTTTCCATGAAGATGTAGGGGTATACCTTACCAGTTACCAGGTAAAAGTTGGTCATTGTAATTGACAATAACGTAATCGTCAATAATGTACTGTTCTTCTTGTGAAGAACCCTGTTCGGTTGCCTGCAAAGTATCTCGATCATTGTCTGAATTGTCCTTCTTTTCATCTACTGGCTTTTTACAATGTTTCTTTCTCTTTTGTGCAATTGCTTGTTCTTTTTCTAGTTGTTTACGTTTACGTTCTGTTTTTAATTGCTCTTTTCGAAGTATCTCCATATTTTTCTTTTTTGCGTTTGTAATATTCCTGCCATTCGATTGATGATGCAACAGACGGCACTTTCTATCGAAATCTTCCAACAATCGGTTTCTTTGTAGTTTCTGGCCAAAATAGAGAGTTCTTGAAAGGAGAAGGTATTGTTGGGTCCGACATTGACTTGTTTTCCTTCATTGATGATGTAGATCCTTGGATTTCTTTTGATTTCCAAATCGGTGCATTTTGATCTGAATTTTCTATAATTATGTTTGCTGGGGATGGACTTGTAGGTTCATCATTGTTTTTTTTTGCTCTCAGAAGTGGTTAAACTTTCATCTCTATGGATGATTGCTTCAACCACTGTGCTGTCAGGAATTGATTCATGATTAGCAACGACTATCACAGAAGGATTATCATTACTGTCTAAAATAGAATTTTTCAGAAACAACATCCACTTCAGTTACTCCATCTGTATTAAGAGTCGACATATCAATTAATCCAGTTATGTCAATCTCGCTTTGATTATTAGCTGTAACAACTTGAATTAAATGGTTCGTTTCAGGATCACTACAGCGCCGTTTCAAAGTTTTCCACAGGTTAAACAGGCTGGTATCTTCTTTAAGACCACTCCAGGTTTCTCCAGATGACAGGAATGTGTTCAATTTGTTATCAATTTCACGTTCCAAAAATCTTGCTTTCATCCTTTGCTTTCTTCATCGCCTGATGATTGATGTTTTGCGGGTGTTTGGACAGTTTTGAAATATTTGGCATAATTAATATTATTTGGATTAAATGGAACCAATCCACAAGTTCTAAAGCCACTTTTTATTGCATCTGGAATATTTGTCATTCGAGATATCGTTTTTTCCAACAAAGAAGCAAAATGTTCTCAGCTTAATCTGTCTCCCTGATGTTCTATCCGCCACTGATAAATTACTTTTTTCCATTCAGCTTTCATGGGGCGAAATACAGAAACATCTAAAGGCTGTAAGATATGCGTCGAATTTGCTAAAAGGCAAATTAAATTGATTCCATTCTTGGAAGCGAATTCACTTACAGCTAATGTGAGATGTGAAGAATGGCCGTCAAAAAATAAAATAACTGGTAATGGCACTTCTTCTTTCATAAGCCAGGGGTGAAAAACATTTGCTATGTACTCAAAAAAAGTTTTCCTCTGTCATCCAACCATTGTCAGATCTTCCTATACCCCAACTTGCAGGAACTTTTTCAACTATGTTTCTTGACACTCTTTGATAACTGTAAACAACCATTGGAGAGGCGAATTGGCCTGCTGCATTACAAGTGAGAAGTGTCGTTAAGCATTCTTTCTCATCATTATTGATAAATGAATATACGGTTCTTTCACCCTTTTTTGCCAAAACTTTGTCGTTTTTAGGGCTAAGAAAGAATGATGATTCATCGCAATTGAAGACCCGTTGTGGCTTATTCGTGACATGTAAGAAATTATTTTTCAAAAGGTAGCTGTTGATCTCCATAAACCATTTTCTTATTTTTTCTTCTGTGACGTTAGCACGAGCATTTGTTAAATTTTGAGAATTCCTTCTGGTTAATTCAGGATGGCGTCTCATAAAACCCTCAAACCAATGTCTTCCTGGTCTTCCATCTTTGAAAGGATTTTCTCTTTTCAGGTTTTTGATTAAAATTTGTACACTATCAATCAACTGGAGTTTGGTTGCGGGAAACCCTTGTTCGGCTATGGTCATCATCCATTTCACTAATATATTTTCTTCTTCGCCGGTTAAAATAGTTTCAGCTCCAATTTTTCTTCCTTGAAGTGATCTACCATGTAACTTGTCCAATAATGTTGTTCGTGGAACATTCAAAGTTTTATGTGCTTTAAATGGCGACATTCCGTTTCTTACGGCTTGTATAGCATTATCCATTACCTTTCTGAATAAAGAAGCCTGCTTTTTATATTCATTTTGATAATCGTTGTCTTTAATTCTAATCTGAAAAGAAGAAAAATCATTGTACCTATTATCGACACTATTCTGAACATAGGACCGACACCAGTTTTAAAAGGTTGTTAGCATATCAGGGCTCATTAAAAGTTGGTGTCGATACAGCCTCACAGTGATATTTAATCAATTCTCTAATATCGTATACAAAAAAGGATAGTCTTATGTCATTTATATTAAGATGAGGGAAAGGTGAATAATTTTAATGTTTGTCCCCTATACCGACAGTAATGTCGATTCTCGGTACAACGTAAAAAATGGATGTACCTAATACCGACACTACAAAAAATAACATTTTTGGCAATAAATACATTACTAAAGACAATTTTCAATTATAAAGATTAAACTATAAACATGTACAAACATAAATAAACAAGTATAACATATGTTTTTTTTTAATTCTCTGAATATAAGTAGTTATACTTTACATGTATTCTAAGCGATCACAACAGTAACTTACATCCACGACGGTTGAACTTAAAATGATGGGACTTTGACAAGACACCGAAAATGCCAGTTTGACCACCACAGCAAATAAAAATATTAAAATGTACCACTGAAATGTACAGTTTTGGTCAAAATTTAAATCAGTTTGCTGTCATATATACAAGTCTTACTTTACGTACATTTACCTTAACAGGTTGTCTACGTTCTACACCAATTTTAATATTACAAGCGGAATGTTCAGTATCCACACTAAAAGTTAGAAGGGAAATATTGGCTCATAAATGTAGGTCTTACTTAAAAGTTTTTTTATTATTTCAATGGGAACTAACGTTAGAGTAAAAGTCCGCGATCCAAACGATACGTCTTTATTACATAACAATAAACTGTACGGATGGTATTTACAGGTACACAATATTACTAGATTACGGATAATCGTCTGCAAATTAAAATATCGGACAACCCCTTAGTTAATTGTTTTCTTCGTTCGTCATTCCTCTGCCGGGCGTTGCACAATAATTAACCTTCACAGCTCGAGTGCCAAATATCGAATCCCTTTTAGGTCAGGCATGTGTGATTTTGTCTATATTTTTCTGTCCCCTTTATGATGATGGCGACCTGTCTGGGGCGCCTTAAGAATATGGTTTTAGTGGTATCTCGCAGTGGCGTAACTAACAAATAAAACTATGCTAAATACTTAATATAAGAAATATTTCCTACATAAATATATATTGAAACAAATGTCTGAAAAAAATAACATAGGTATAAGAAGTTTAAACAAGTTAAATGAAGCTATAAATGCAAACAACCAATTTTGGAACAATAAAACTATACCAGACTACTTATTAGCATATATAGACATACTCAAAAATATAATCCGATAGAAAATTAATCCCATATATGAAGTAGAAAGAAAAATTCTTTTATATCCCATTACAATTAAGAGCCTAGAATATGAAAAATATGAAATCGAAACTAATCAAATGTTTTTAGCAAAATATGGTGGAATATATAGTAATCATACCTATGTATATACAGATAAATCTATCGATTCACAAACAAACCAATCTGGATTTGGAATTTATATACCACAGATTAATTATAAATTTTCATCAAGATTCCATAATTACATACAAATCTGTACAACTGAAATGATAGCTATATATAAAGCTATCTCTGTGTGCATTGAGAAGGAGATCATGAAAGAAGTTATCTTTGTGGATTCAAAAAGTGCTTTATCCAAAATTTACAGTCTCAAATGGGATCAAATTGATTATGTGACCATAATGATCAAAAAACTATTGGTAGAAGTTAATAATATGGGATTCTCAATAGGAATAGAATGGGTACCTGGACATCAGGGGATTAAAGGTAATGATGTAGCTGATAGGCTGGCGAATATTGGGAGAGAATTAAGAGTACCATATGATATAAAAAATGTTATTACAGATATCTTTTGCGTTACAAAAAGGACATTTTAACACAATTCTACAATTAATGGCATTCCCAAATAAAAAAAATAAAGATCCAAACTATTGCAGATTGCAGTGTGATTTCCCCATAAAACCATGGTATGACAAATGGGGTATATGGGCAGAAATACTATAACAAATATTAATCGTTTACGTAGTGGACATTGCAACACTCCTTGCTATCTCTACAAAATAGGTAAACAGAAACACCGATATGTGAGTGTGGAACCATTGGAACAGTGATCCATATCTTCTTTGAATGTCTCATAAATAAACACAAAAATATGGATCTGTATTTAGAACTATTAAAAGCAGGAATATAGAGTCCAACATCTTTACATAGTATTCTATATAAACCCTCTGACAAAGTTATAAAAATAATAAATTCATCAAATTTATTCAAATCGATCTATGAAAAAAAAATTTTTTTACTTGTCAAAATAAAAAAAAATTAAATTAATTTTGAAAATACTGGAAATATCCTAACATAAAAAAATTTACGCCCTTACAATCCTTAATCCTAACCAAAGGTAGCATTACCCATAAACCTAATGAGACAATGTTTGGAAGCAACCCCCGAACGAGAAAAGTCCAATCTTAAATGAAGAAGATAAACAAATGGAAATGGTGATCTTTCAGACTAGTGTCTAGAGCCTGACCGAAGGTTACTAAGAGTCTATTTTTAATCAAGGTTAGTAGATATTTAAGTTACTTAAATATCTACTAACCTTGATTTTTAATAACCTTGAGCCTGACCATACTGTGCAGACTTGCGCAGTTCATTTGCATTCATTTCTGAATGTGTTAATGAGGTTTATATCTATTGTTGGTTGCGAACATTTTTTTTATAAATTAATAATATAATTACTTCAATCTATCTATTTAACCCGTTTGATAAATTTAATAATCTTTAAATTATAAGAATAACCCTAAAATTAATAGTAAATAATAGCAAATCAAAATTAAAGGTTTTTTAAAATAGTTTTAAAAAATATTTTTTGCGCATTTTTTCCAATAAAAATTTGTTATTTTATATACAGGATGTTGACTGATGTTATATATCAATTACTATGATACACACTTTCTTATTTTAAATGAAACATTGGTTATATTATAAAATTTTTAGATTCTGCACAAAATTCCTAGAACTTTGATATTGCATGTTATTGTTTTAATTAACTTATTTTAGGATACAGGGTGGTTAATGAATAGATCACTCTCTGCGTGTCTCCTTATCTCCATTTTGTTTCTGATAATGTATAGTACTCTAAGATATGTACCTATATTCTTTTAAAATAGATATTATGTCAAATAAATGAAACCTACCTATATTTTTACCAGGTGTAAAATGGAATGTACATAAGTAGGTATCTTAAAGGCTATATATTTAAAAGTTAATATAGAAGGGATTGTGCCTTTAATATATTGTATATTAAAAACAGTTAAATAAAAGCATGGCAATCCAATATATTCAAGTTCTTTGAATTTTGTATTGGATCCAATAACTAAATAATATACCCGGTGTTCCATCTAAAATTTTAAACTTGGCATCAGTATTTAACATGACATCACACTCTGTATAACACATTTTTATTGGAAACATATGCGCATATGCGAAAAAATGAAAAAAACGTCGATTTTAGTGAGTGAATAACCGCTTGCCGCGCTTTGAGCAGGTGTTTCTTGGCTCTTCAAAGAGTCAGAGTTCCTTCTGGGGACCAAGACGAAGCGATTGGTACCTGATATATACGTGTGCTCCAACTATAGAGGTATCTTTTAATCTATTTTCGGGTAAAATCGCGAAAAAATGAAAAAAAAAACGTCGGTTTTAGGAACTGAATAATCGCTTGCCACGCTTTGAGCAGGTGTTTCTTGGTTCTTCAAATGGTCAGAATTCATTCTGAGGATCAAGACGAAGTGATTGGTACCTAATATGTACGTGTGCTCCAACTATACAGGTCTCTTTTAATTTATTTTCGGATAAAATCGCGAAAAAATGAAAAAAAACGTCGATTTTTGGGACTGAATAACCGTTTGCCACGCTTTGAGCTTTTTTTTTTGGTTCTTCAAAGGGTCATAGTTCGTTCTGGGGACTAAGAACAACAATAACAGCTACTATTAGTACCAGTTTTTTCGGGTTTCCTATGACCGTATGGCCCACTCACTTTAATTTAACTTTAACATTTTACCTTGATTTAATGCCCCACTTAGACGCTGTCAGACTTTAATGACTCGTATTAAAAACAAGCTCTGCACAAATAATGAACCGCTTAAAAATATTGATAGTGTTAAACTAGAGTTAAGAAGTAATATTTCGCTGGTCCCTGTGAGGAGCTCATTCACTATTAAAAAAGGGAATAATTGTCAGGTAGAATGTATTGCTGGTTCAATAGCAGTGAATTTATTTAGTTATAATTTAACATTTTTAATATAATTAATTAGCGTCTCTTAGCAAAGACAATGACGTCGACTTTGCTAAGTATCAAGACAATTACTCTACACTAGGTACCTGACTGTAAAAATTCACTGTACCATGCCAATGACCATTAGTTGTCGACGCATTAAACTCAATAAAAAAAATATAATTAATTCTGTATCTGTATTTATTTAAATTTAAGATTGTTATGGTACTTATGTGCCGTTAAAATTGTATGTCTAGTTAAGAATAAAACTATTATATTATCAAAAAAAATTAAATTTTATTTAATGTGTTCTTTATACAAATAAAAATTAAATAAATTACAATTATACAAAACTCATTTTTTATACTTCTATAAGATTATTTTTATAATGTATAATTGGCAATTACAACTTATATTACAATTTGTGAGGCAACAATCAACGTGCATCCAAGTCATACATTATCATTAGAATTCTAATATGGATAGGTAGTAATTAATGAGCCAAGATATTTTTTAAAATATTTTATTATAAACTAAATTTCAAAACCTTATAAAATTACAAATAAAGTATTTTTCTATTAATAAAAAAAGAAAAAATTAGTAATAACGTAAATCTCTCAACTATCGGTAAACATACATTATTATGTGTTCAATCTAAAAGTGTTATAAACAAATGTTTTTATTCGAACTCAGTCCTTATTTTTTAAAATCTTGTTATTTTTTGAAATGAATGACTCACATTCTTCTTTTTTAGGGGTTATTTTTTCCTCAATATGTTTGAAGTGAAGCTTTACAATATTTTTTTCTTGCGCACTCCATCGTATTCGACCCTTTTTAATACAAGGTTCCTGGTATTCATCTGCAAGAAAGGGAAGTAAAATATTCAACTACCATATACTTACCATTTTCCTCTTGTTCAGCGTCAGTTTCATCTAATTTTGAAGGTTTTGCTGCAATATCTGTCAATCCAATTTTAGAAACATCTTCTTCGTCGTTTGATTCAGAACTAATGTAAACATCGTTTTCAAATTCAAGTTCTGATAATAATTTTCCTTTAAACTCTTTTTCTTTACCTTTTTCCAGTAACATCAATACCTTTGCAACTTTGGCTGTTTGAAATATATTTTGTGGTAGCCTGTATTAAAAAAATTATGAAAATTTTATGACATAGAAAATATAAATAAAAATACCTGTAATATTCAGAGTGAGTTTTCTTACTATGCCCCATAAATGTAGCAATTTGTTTCATTTCGCTATCATCCATTGCCATAAGCTGCAAAGTTGTCGCTATATGTTTTCTAAATCGGGTTGATGTTAAGAGGGTAGGGCGTTTTGCACCACATGCTGCAGCTAATTTTCTAATTACGTGGTATCCTGCCATCCATCTATTTGCCGAACCATGATTCGCAAACACGTATGGATTAGAAGTAGGTACAACATTTGCTTGCTCTCTAATTTTCAACATTAATGTTATGAATTTTTTTATTTGGGGAGAAAATAAAATTGCTATACATTTAGAACCCTTGCCTTGCCTCGAGTAACTACACTTTTGAATCGTTGACTTAATACTTTTTCAACAGTTGTTAGTAATTCAAGACAAGCATTTTCATTTGTAATATCGAGAATTCTGGTAAGTGGATATTTTGAGATATTGTACATCGCCAATACGATTTCTATTAAATGCAACAGTTAGTGCTAAAACGCACTCTGTTAATATCTTATAATTTACGTTAATGGTGATGTAGATCAAGAATATAGGAACATGGAATGTACAGGGTCTCTCTACAAAAAAGAAGCTCAATATGGACATCGTGGTGTTAACAGAAACCAAGAAAAAAGGTACAGGGTCAGAAAACTCAGGGCATTTCGACCATTTCTATAGCGGCATATCAAAAGAAAAAAGAGCACAACAAGGAGTCTCAATAATTATTCGTAAAAGCCTAAGAAGATATATCACCACTTGGGAAGCCATAGATGAAAGACTAATTAAAATAAACCTCAATATACATGGTCATAAACTAACAGTAATAGGTGTATATGCAGTTAACGATGATGCACTGGTTAACAAGAAAGAAGAATTCTACGAGAAACTAAACCGAGAAATAACATCGATAGGAAATACGAGGGAATTAATCCTGCTTGGAGATTTTAATGGCAGGGTCGGAAAAAAACAAAACTATAAAATAGTTGGTCCTTACGGAGAAAGCATAACAAATGACAATGGGACCAGACTTATCACAATATGCGAACAGAACCAGCTCCGTATTACAAATGGATTCTATCAGCATCGAGAAGTACACAAATACACCTGGGGACAGAGAACAAGGAATCTAAAATCTATAATAGATTACTTGATTGTACGGCAAAGATCAAATCTTAAAATCTACGACGTAAGAGCTTATAGAGGCGCAGTTTGTGGAAGCGATCACCATTTCTTAAAAGCAAAAATAATGTTTTCAAGAAGAAGCCAGAATGAACAACCAGTAGTTCGCTCAGAGATGGCAGAAGATGTAAGATATAATCTTATCAGCCTAGATCAAGATAATGTAAAAATATTGTATCAAAACAGACTGAACGAGAAACTTGAAAACATAAATTTCAATAACATCGAAGACCACTACAATTACATTAAAGAAAGTATTCACTCTGCAGCAAAAGAAGCGCTTGGATATTACGAAAAGAAAAACAAAAATACTCCATACTGGTGGGATGAAGAAATAGACACAGCGATAAAACAAAAGAAACAAAAGTATGAACAATATTTAAGTGCAAAGACAGATACAAATTGGTCTGATTACAAAAACCATCAAGCTAAGGTGAGACAAATGATAAGACAGAAAAAAAATGAATCCTGGGATCAAAACTGTCAAAAATTAAATACGTACATAGGAGGAACTAGAAGTACAGAAAGCTGGAAACTTATTAAATCTCTTAGGACCAACGACAAGAAAAAAGATTTAATCTCACCAATTTCGTTAGAAACATGGGACATGTACTTCAGTAAACTGTTACAAGAAGACCGAATGGAATTCAAAATAAAAGAAAGTAACCAAAACATACGCGTTGAAGCATCTCCTATAAGAATCACGAAAAAGGAAGTAAGAGATATCTGTATTTCACTCAAAAACAAAAAAGCGCCCGGACCTGGCAATATACCCTCAGAACTGATAAAATATGGAACTGAAAAACTATATGAGCATTTGACAATACTCTTTCAAAACTGCATAAACAAAGTAGAGGTTCCAGCCGAATTTAAAACCTCAACCATTTCAACTGTACATAAAAAGGGAAACAAACAAAATTGCGACAATTACCGTGGAATAGCAGTTACTAGTACCATTAGTAAAATCTCTGGGAAAATGATCAAAAATAGAATAGAAAGAGAATACACTGATATGGAGGCAGAAGAACAATCGTGTTTTAGAGCTGGTAGATCGACCATAGACCACCTTTTTTGTATCACCCAACTTATAGAAAAAAAGGTTGCTGTAGATCAAGAAGTCCACTTTTTGTTTGTTGATCTAAAAAAGGCCTACGATAGCATCCCTCAAAATAAGTTATGGAACACTCTCAGACAAACGAACATCAACTCAAATCTCATAACAGCAGTGGAAAAACTATATGAGAACGCCAACGCCAAAGTTAAAATAGGAACGAATGTTTCCAAAGGTTTTTTAGTAGACAAAGGACTGAAGCAGGGATGCTGCTTAGCGCCGACACTTTTCAAAATATATCTGGAACAAGCATTAAAACTCTGGAAGCGGAAATGCAGCGGCATGGGTATACAATTAAACAATAACAACCTGTACACTCTATGTTTTGCTGATGATCAAATTGTGATTGCTAACGAATATGACGACCTAGAATACATGACTCGAAAATTAATCGAAGAATACAAAAAATGGGGATTAGAAGTCAACATAGATAAAACAATGTACATGAACATCGGTGGTAAAGAACAAAATCTAGTTTTAAACGACGGACAACACATTAAGTACAACAATAAATATTCCTATTTAGGAGTAGAAATCACAGACGACGGCAAATCAGATCAGGCTATAAAAAAACGAAACACTCAGGGTAGAAGGGCCATATCTCAACTAAATAGTATTATCTGGGATCAACATATATCCAAAAAAAATAAACATCGAATATACAACACTATTATAAAGAGTAATGTATGGAAGTGACGTGTGGCAGTTAAAGGCAACTACTGAAAGAACACTACAAGCCACGGAGATGGACTACTGGAGACGGGCCGCAGGAAAATCAAAACTCGAAAGAATTAATAACGAACGTATACGAGAGGTTATGGGAGTCACACATACGATTGTCCAAGATATAAGAGTACAACAACTAAAGTGGTATGGACATGTGCAGATAATGCCAGAACATCGTCTGCCCAAACAGATTATAGATTGGTCACCACATGGAAAGAGAAAAAGAGGCCGACCCAGAAAGAGCTGGAGAGAAGGAATAGACAGAGAGATCCGAGAGAGAGGTTTAGACGAAGATCTTTGGGAAGATAGAGATGCATGGAGATTGGGCATTGGAAGACGTCGGAGGACGTTTTAAACCGATTATATATATATATATATATATATATATATATATATATATATATATAATGTTGATGTTATCCAACAGTTCATTATATGTATCATTTGCCAAACTATGTACGTAAATTTGAAATGCTTGTATGTCTTCACTTAATGGAAGAGTTGTAGGTTTTTCCTATTGGCGTTCATATAACACCTTTAAAGCTATGCTTGAAAATTCACTACACCAATGACCCTAAATTAATTTTCTAAGATCTTTTATTTCTTCTTTTTTTCTATTCCTATCTTCCCATGTAATATTAGGTAATTGTTTCTTCTCAATTACTAGTTTTAGGACAATATTATTATTTTTAAATTGGTACCCATATGTAATGCTAATGACGGAGCTTTGTAGCACTTCTCCACAGGATCATAGGAACTTATTTCCTTATTTGCAGTTATAAGATTTTGGAAACATTCTGGTTTTGTTGCACTAAAAAGTCCCACAATTGATTTATTGATAGTTTTAAGAGCTATTAAAAGTCTTTCCATTTCCCACATTTTATTAGATATGTGTGTAGAAATTTGTTGTCTTTTGTGTTTGTTCAAAAGGTGTTCACCATATAAACAAATAAGTGTGTCGCTTTTTGCAACTAAACTTATATCATCTGCTCTCATAATGGTAAATACTTCTTTTAGCCGTGCTTTCAAAAAATCTTGATTTTTAGAAATCATCGACACCAAAAAATCTTGGCTTTTAGTTAAACATCTTTTCCCAGAATTTGTTTCATTTGGTTTCGATTGGTTTTTGTTTGCAAACTTTTACATGTTTATAAGCGTTTTTGAGTAATGCCCTAGGCAATATATGCATGCAAAATATTCCGTTTCGGGGTTACTAGAAATTCTTGTAGGATTTGTTAGATTTTTTTCAGTTTTCAAATGAAAGTACCCTTTTTCTTTTCTAAGCAGACACCATCGACAACCGTTCTATGCTTCTCGGCGGCAGATTTTTAATATAGGCCGATCAGATCCCAGCATGTTCTAGTCTAAGCCGCAGATTCATCTAGAATTTTAAACTGCTGCGTTAGACTTTTTGTTTTCTGTACACCGAGCTGGGGCTCGATCCCACATCCACTGAACCATTCGACAGTGAAGCGAATGAGAGGCAGCCGCACAGCCCGCTGAGCTATCTGACCGACCGATTATTAGAGTTACATCACCAAAACAAATGGGACAAATTGTTGGTCTTTCTCTGGCAGATGACTTCCTCTTGTACTCGTAATTATGAATGTAATTCTGAAAATAAGTTAGAGTTAAGTTATTCTGTTTTTCTATAGGGAGTCAGATGACACTACACATTTCTAGTCCTACTATATGTAGGCTCCGTTAATAAATAATATTGTTCTAGTTTTCTTAAGTTTATTTAGCGGAAAGAAACACTAATTGTACATAATTCGACATAATAGTTTTCATAACATTCAGATGGCCATAATTCATAATCACAAGTGTCAAGTCTAAACATAAAGTGTGTGGTTATCTTCTTTTTTCAAATTGAGTGACAATCAGATCTGTCAATGGCGCGAAATTCAAATAAGACTACAGTTCGGCCATCCTGACACGTCTGATCGTCCTCGATCAACCTAATATTACAGTATATTAATTACATAACTAAGATATTTAACATTCATGACTTTCATAAGACATAACATAATGGATATTTGAAATGAACATTTTCCTTTAAAGTTTAAAACATACAGTAATAATAATAATAATTCATAATGAGTTAAATAAACAAATCATAATAATCATAATTCATAATGGTTTAAATAAGCAAGGCATAACATTCATAATAGTTTAAATAAGCACGACATAACATACATAATGGATTGAAGTGTCCATAGGGGTACAAATGGAAATCATAATATCC